GTCGAGAAACCGGGAAGTCGCGCCCCAAAACCGGGGCGCAGGGGCAAGAGCCGCGGACGGTGCAACGGGGGTCGCCGCGACCCGACCGCTCCCCCGCCCTCAGCGAGCCCTCCCTCTTAACCCCGCCCCTCCACCCGCCAAGCGGGAACCTGGCGGCGGATCGGCGCTCGGCTCCCCAGGCTGGGCGGCAGGAGGCCAGCGCCCGCACCCCTCGCGGGGCTCCCGCCCGAGCCCCGCCGCGCCAGGCCGCCCGCAGCTGCGCGCTGCGCGAAACCTTACCCGACGTCTCAGCCCGCGACAGGTGGCACTGCTGGCAGAGAGGCCGCGGGCCTGCCGCCCACCCACGCGATGATCAGCTCCTGCCGGGCGCAGCGCTCCCCTTCTCCGAGCTCCCCGGAGCCAGCGAGAGCTCAGGGTCCTAGTAGCACGAGTGGCCAGTCACCGGCGGAGGAAGCCAGCAAAGCAGCGTAGTGAGGAGGGATCCCGGAGGAGAGGGAGCGAGGAGAGACGCCAGCCCCGCCCCACAGGCGGAGACTGACGGGCGCGCGGGCCAATGCGGAGGCAGGAAGTCGGGCCCGCGGGGCGGGTCTCCGCCTCTAGGCTTCGCGGGCCGCGCTCTCGGGTTCCTGAGCCCCGAGATCTTTCTGGGTCGGGATTCTTGAAGTTACCGTTTTGAGGCCGAGCGCGCGCCCGTGTGGACGCGATCCCGAGGAATGTGAGAGGGGCCGTGTAGATTAGTTGGAGTCCGGTGACATTGGCGACACCCGTCGCTCTCCAAAAGGACCCGAGGCTGGCTTACCGCGGAGCTTGCATCCCTGGGGCTCTTGGGGTTTGCCTGAAGTGTTGGCAGCGCGTTTGCGCGAGAAGAGGCTCTGCGCAGGCGCGGGCGCGGCCGAGGGATGTCCGCGGGTACCAGTATCAGAGCCCCGCGGGGGAAGAGGCGAGAGGAAGGCTAGGGGTTTGGGGCCATCCTGGCCGGCCAGTGGAGGCTGGGAGAGGATGGAGGAGAGATTTAAGAGCTGGCTGCAGATCAGGAGACTGGAGAAGCAGAGGAGGGAGGACCTAGGACACGCGTGTCTAGGACTCTTCTGCGTGATTCTTTGCCACTCTCCACTGCTGCTGGCACAGTTATTGGCCCTCAAGGAATTTCCAAATGATCCCTACCATAACAGTCACCAAAAATAGACATACAAGGTTCTCTCTCAGAAAAGCACTGGAACTCTAAATTGTCATCATCTTGAAAGACGCAGGGACCATAACTTAATATATGTATACCCACCCACGGTTATGATATTGGAGGATATTCTTTACTCTTTTTTCCAGAAAATGTTATCACCAAAAATTCTTTCATTGAGTTTGTGTACGCTTAAAATATTGTAAGGATGATTTTAAAATAAAGATGTAAAGGCTAAAAAAAACAGCAAGGCAGATGGAATGAGAAAATGGAAAGTGATGGAAATATGAGAAAATTGAGCAGAAGCAGAGAAAAGTGAATTGTCCTCTCCTAAACACTTTGACAACTATGTAAAATCTGGAAAGACTGTGCCAGTCTGAGGTTTGAAGGGCGGAACATGTTTGAGAACACTGTAGTTAGATGATAAATGCGATAACCACCGCAGTAAAAGAGAGACTATAAATAGCATGACCTACAATAACCCTGCTTGCCAGATTGTCAAGATGCAGCAAGCTGAATGAGGGAAACTTCAAAAAGTACATGTGTTGTTATAAATGCTTCATTAATAGAGGTAAAATTATTTTGCCTGAAACACAGTTTGTCCTATATTAGAATAATCCCAGGTTGAAGGGTTGTAGAAAGCTATGGTGGATGGGATTTATTTTGGTTAAATTGAGGTCATTTCATTCCTTAAATGAAATAACTGTTAATGTCAAGGAGGCAGACATTGCTGTTTGGCTGGTCCACCACATTCACTTGTTATTTTTAGTCACTTTGGTGACTGGTCTGGCTTGTTCAGTGACCAAGCCCGATACCGATTTCCTCCTCCCAGTTTCCTGTTGATTTGGACCTTGGCACCTTGTTTTACATGATCCTCTGCCTTGGAATTCATCCTTCCAGGAAGAGCTTGTGTCTTCTTTCTGAACTCAGCATTGTTTGTATTGTCTGCATGGCCATTTTGACAACTCTACAAGGCCTCATGGGCTACATCCTGGGCAGCCAAGAACGGTCAGCTCCTTTTTCTGAGAGGGTCCAGGGGAGTACACCAAGGAAGAAGCATATAAGGAAGGCACTGGATCCACAACTGTTTCAGGGGGCACTCACTCCAAAGAAACAGCAATGCACAATGCAAGTGGTTTATTTTATATGTGGGTTGGGATGGATATAAAATTCATGCAGTGAGGTGTGTAAGGTACCTCACTGGGGCTTGAAGAATTTTTACATATGTACACACCTGTGTAGTCATCATCCAGTCTGAGATATAGAACATTCCCTTGAGCCTCTTTTCAGCCACCCTCCCTCTCCCCTTATATCTAACCACTTTACAGTTAGATGTAAGGTGTTACAACTGTTAGGGAGGGACGTGGGTGTGGATCAGTTTGTGTGAATCCTGTGTTGTTGGGAGTTGAGGCTTTGTCTTCAGTTTGCCTGTGACATGGGAGGAGCCTTGGGGGCACACCTGGTCATGTGACTTTCCTGTAAAACTCTTCAGTAGGCAGTTTAAAGTGGTATACACGAGTATACCAGTTATCTCAGGATGGGCACATATTCACCCATGTTTCTTGAAAATGCTTGGAAAAACTTTCCTATCAATTGCCATTAAAATAGAGCAGCTTTATTTCATCCAAACAGCACAATGTATTCCCTTAAGGAAAATCCATATTACTGAGTTTCAGAGAATTATGGAAAGTCATTCCCTTTCTAATGAGAGTGTACGTGAGGAGGGTTGTTGGTTTTAGGTTGACACATCACCTATAGCAAAAGTAGATAGATTGTGCTAATCACATGTTTAGATTTACACAAGCCCATCTGCTTTGGAACAGAAAACATTAATAATGAATGCTGACTGTGCCACTGGGAATTATCCTCCAATAAATTAGGGTCATTAAAAATGCAAACTCTTTAAAAATACAAGAGAAAGTAAACAGTATATCTAAAAGCATTTGTGCTAAGCACTGCAAAAACAAACCACCTGTCAGCCTACTGTGGAAGTGAGACATAAAAGCATTTGGTGTAGATAAGTACTATCATTAAGAAACAATGTTTTTGTTATTCCCAAAATACAATGAAGTGCTAATGATGATAATTACCTCCCCAACAAGCACTAACAATTCTTTATATAATTAAAATAAATATAACTTTTCAGGCTATCTAAAAGTGTAAACTAATACCATAATAAGCAATGTCTTCACTACCAAAATATTTTAAGGTGAGTTCTAGAAAATTTTGTGAAGAACAAAGAAGTTACTATCATAGGCTTATTAACAATAGAAGAACCTTTACTCCTCAAGGAAAAATAGCACTTTGATATTTATGGATAATATTGTACCACATTTGATTTTTCTCTAGGACTTTTAGGTAACCTAGAAAGAGTAAGGCAGGAATTTACTAGCATCATGTCATTGTGGAAACAACATCTTTCATTTATCAGTCTTGATAAGGACGTGCCTAAAATCTTCCTGAGCCATACATAGGATGCTTGGTATTACTTATTCTAAATGGTAGTCCTGGCTCCATCACTTTCTGTAAGCCCTTAAGAAAAATTCAAGGAGCAGCAACATGGGCATTACCTGGGAGCTTGTTAGAAAAACGAAATCTAGGTTATCACCTCAGACCTACTGCATCAGAATCCAACATGCCCAGGTGGTTCCATGCACATTAACATTTGAGAAGCATTGAGGAACCCTGAAGTTCTAGATTCTGTGAATGAACTCATGCTGCCTGTGAATGGATTTTTTTTGGTAAGGATTTTTTTTTTAATTGGGGAACAGTGTGTTTTTCCAGGACCCATCAGCTCCAATTCAAGTAGTTGTTTCAATCTAGTTGTGGAGGGCACAACTCAGTGGCCCATGTGGGGATCGAACCGGCAACCTTGGTATTATGAGCACTGCACTCTAACCAACTGAGCTAACCAGCCGCCCCTGGATTTTTATTTCTAGATATGAGATAGTGAAAAGCTCATGATACTTTCTTTACCTTCAGAAAGCTCCTGTGCCAAAACAAACACAGTTGGTCTTTCCTTCTCACATTGAGAATATGTTATGCTTCAACTGTGAGCAATACAACTTTATTGTTCATTCATCAGATGTGTAGTTATGAACTAGGCACCAGGTAGAACGTTTGTACCACATAGGATCGATGTAAAGTTGCTGGCTGATGCCAGGGGGGAAAAAGCCTACGAGTTTGCCTTGATCATCCACATAGTGTTCCTGATATCTTGAGCATAATTATACATACAGGTCCTTAATAAATCCTGCAAGATTCATACTTCTAAGACTGTGAAAGCTACCTCTGAGATTCTATCTCTTAGGGGCAGTACAGGGACATTTTTTCTATAAAGGGTTCAAGATTTCTCTGACCAAGAGAGTAGCTATAATAGATATAGTAATTTAAGGGAACCTAAATTGAAAAATTGGCTTTGATTATCTGATGTATTTTCCTACTGAGGAATAAATGGTGGGTTCCTTGGTACATGAGATATCAGAACGCTAAAAACAGCTTTGAAATTGTTAAGTTGAATATTTCATCTTTTACGTCAACAAGATATGGTCTAACCACAAAGAAATACCCCAGATGTACCTTTCCTTCCAATACTGTTTGACTTTAGACTTGCTGTCATTCCAAAGTGCTTCGCAAAGTGAATCGCCTCCCACACCAAGCTGTACCCCTGGCCTGAGAATTCTTCCAATTGTTCTTTCCATGGCCGTTGATTACGCTGGGGATGTCTGGGGACCCCAGGACCTCCCTGAAAGTTTGGCTCAGTTCCAATGGTTCACATTGAGAGTTGACCATCTTGGGATCTGCACCAGGTATAGCAATTAATCAGGAGCATTCTATTTTAACAGGCATCCCAAAGGAGGTAGAATATCTTTCCTTACACTTGAACCAAAATTCTATTGCACAGAAAAACATGGACTAAATGATTAATTCTAAACAACACAACCTTGCAAAAGTTATATCTAGATTCCAACTTATTAAGTGCACCAAATGGTTCAAACAGACTCTGCTGTTTTTATATTTATGCCTGCAAGTAGAAATGATGAAACATAAGCTTTGTTCATAAAATACCAGATCAGTTCTTAATCATTTTTGTGTAACGGACACCACTGACAGTCTGTTAAAGCCTACAGAATGGTTTTTTAAGTACATCAAACAAAATACATAGAATAACTGAAGAATACAATCATAATGAAATAAAGTAATCCAAATATTTTTAAACCCCAAATTTCTGATATAATACATGTGCTACTTTATAATGCATTAAATCAAAATCTAATGGAGGGTTTAATAACTAGTAATGTTGAGTATAATTGCTATTTCACAGTATGTGCAACAACTATAATATAAAAAAATCTGTGATTTCAGTTAATCCTAGTTGTTTATTGTCTATATTCATAATTGAAGAAAATGCCTAAATCCAGTTAGAGATTAGTGAAAATAAATATATTTTTTTCAGTCCAAGTTCACATGCTCCCTGTACTAGGTTATCTGTTTTTATCTAAGTTCAGATAAAGACTTCATTCTACCTATGAGCAATTTATGAGTTCAGTTTGTGATACTGGAAAATAGTTTCCTGTAGCAATTTTGTCAGATCTCCAATTTCAAGGTTATTTGGAGACATTCTCTGTCAACAGGTCTTTGGTGACTCTCAGTAAGCTCT